TATAAGGTATGTTCTTTAATGAAGAAAAGCAATGCAATAAGGAGCTTTGCACAGTTTGTTTTCAAACAAAATACAACTTAAAAAAAAATAAATCACCTGCCTAAAGATGCAATTGTTTCAACTTCTCAGTAACTTGATTTGAAGGTAACGCTTGAATTTTGATAAAAACAGAGATGAGTAGTAAGGGCATAGAATTACTTGCCACTGAGCTTTTTAAGTTTCTTGCAGCATACCAAATCTCTTAATTAGCTGTTAAGAAAGATTTCTCTAATAAATTCAGGGATTCCATAAAAAATTTTGACAATTCTATTGTTTGGGTGCTTGAGAGTATCTGTAACGGGATGCAAGAGATTTTCTTTCATTGAGCAAGTGTTCCTATCGAGCAAACTTCTTTTTCTTCATGGGTTTAAGGTAAAATAAAAATGCTGCAGTACATCACGGAAGTCTGCGACTGCCACTGTACATGCAGCAGATTAGAGAAAACAGAAAACTTCAACCAGGTTTGGAATTCTGTACAACCTGCACTTTATAATAAAGCCGTTTTGCAACTTCAGTCAGCAATCAATCATTAACATTATTTCATTTAGTAAATAATTTCATTTGAAAAAACAGGTACCTTGTAACAGCTTATTTTTGAATGTTTTAAAAACTAGGGTGACGTAGAGAACTGTTGATACATCCCCTGTACATCATGTTTGAATTGGTTTTATGTAGCTATCAAGTTTGTTTTGTTTAGATACGTGTATCAAACTGGAACTTTTTTCAACTGTAAATATATGGTTTTGTTAAATAAAGTCATGTAAAGTTATCTTAATCACCTATTGTCAGTGTAATTCAGAAATTAAAAATTCAATTACCTCTGTTTCTTCACAGGCTTCTTTAGCAGTTTTTGACTGTCCAAGATCAGGACCTTGGGACACTTAAGTATTGCAGGTAGAGGATTTTGGGGTGATGCTTTCGAAGCTCTCATGTTAAAATACCTGTTATATTACATGTGACACTTAGAAGATTTGATACTTATGGTGCCCATGGTTTAATCCATTTCACATGCCTTTCTCTAGACTAGGTCTGAGATCTAATAAATTTATTACAAAAAATAATGTGAATACATCTTTGAGATGCACATAACTCGGAAGTGCTTGAATACCTTATCCTTACTTTGTTTTAAAAGAAGAAATCTTGGTTTATTGCAAATTTCGTAATCACAAGGTATTTTTGTGCTCGACTTATGGCAGTATTATTTTAATTCCTACATGGCCATAAATTCAGAGATTAAAGTAGAGGAGCTTCCTGTTGCCACCAAATACAAGATAGATAAAATCAGGGAGAGCAGAGAGAAGACAGTACCTGTGCAACAAGACTAGGTGGGGAACGCAGTCAAAGACTTTGGCTGCCACATCTCTCACTTCCTTGTGCTAAAGTATCTTACTGTTTGATTTGCTGGATTAGGACATAAAATCAGATCTGCTTTTATGTAAGCCTATACCAATTTGGTACTGATAGTTACATTGTATATATTACAGGAGTTACACAAAATAGTTCAAAACTAGATTTACTTGTCCTTACCTGTTTTCCCAATACTAATTTCAATCTGTTTGAAGAGAAGTGAAATACTTTCCTGCATGTGAGATTAGGAAACAAAAAGACATTTGTCTGTACTGCTTCCTGATGGAGTGTCGTCTTGTATTTATACGGGGAAAACAGATCTTTATCCTGAGGATAAAGGTGCTTTGGAAGTCTGGCGTAGCAGTGGGTTGTTTCAACAACGCAGCGCTGAGAAAAACAGTCCTAGAGACATTGTGTGAAGTTTAAGCAAATATCTTAGTAATATTTGTTTCAGTAGAAATACTCAGTTCAGGGAATATACTGTCAACCTCATTTGCACCCTAAATTCTTGCCTTCTTCAGATGTCAAACATGCTGCAGCAGTGAAAACCGTCTCAGATTTGCTTTCCCTGCTTCTCTTTGCTTTATCTGTCTGCATTTGTTGTTTAATAGTGTTTAAGAAATTAAAGGAAGGTTTATATGTCTTAAGCCAAAAGCAGCAAGAAGTGTAAGAATTTTCCTGGCAGGAGTCTGTAGGAAGTCAAAACAGGGAAGGGTAACTTCTCCTGGGGAGACGACTGCTGGTCATTCTTAATTATTGATGAAAACAGTCTCGTGGAACACCAGAAGGCTATTTGACTTCTGCGATAGCTACTCCTTCAGCAGAAGAAGAGCTCACTTTTGGTAACGAGGCTCAAGATGAAAGGCACTGATTTTAGTGTCTTTTTTTCATTCTAGGTGGTTGGCAGTTAGATTTGTCTCCTTTTACTGTCCAGCAACAACAGACAGGTAGATCTACCAGTATTTTGTGAAAAGGTTTTGAATATTAGTTGTGTAATGTCTCTTCATTAATAGGTGTTCGAGCTATTGAAGATCCAAAGTACTTTAGTTGTTTGCAGAACAAGAGCCTGCACTGTTCCACTGTGTTTATGCAATAGTTCTGCGGAACTGTAAGGACCTCAGAAGAATATAACCATAGTGCTACTGTGCGATTGCAATAAGAGTAAGAATTATTGATCTCTTCTCTCATTTCACTATGACAAAAGAACAAGATTTAAACCTTCAGTAGTGTAATAACCACTTTAATTATGTTTTGTATTTTAAATATCCAGGCAATGTCAAAAACCTAGTTCAGAGGTTATTTAAAAGAGAAAGGTATAATCCATTCTGAAAAAATGTCTTTATGTAAGTTTATCTACTTTTTATCCCCATATAAGTGCATTTAGTGACTTGTGTACTTTGTTTAAATGCATACGCAACTTATTTTGGAAGTTGAACCAGCAGCTCAAATACAGCTCAGCAATTCTGGTCCCACAGCGTGTAATTCCAACCTGTGGTGGAACACCGTAAGACTCCACTCCTAGTCTTTTCCACTGGGATGTGCCGCCTTTCCTGCAAAATTCACAGCCTTTGAACACTGAAGTCTGGGCCTTTAATACCTACTTCTGCCTACCAAAAATGGGACTGAAGATTGCTGGTCTATCTAAGTAAAGTAGTGGTACCATACACAGAAATTAACAATTAATTAGGTAGGACTGATGCAATAATTGGGCACATCAGCTAGTGGTGGCTTATAAGGAGCCTACCAAAGTTGCAGTTCCTTCAGTAATGAGAACATAGTGTGTCAGAGCTCCAGCATTTTGCTCACCTAGGATGTTTCTATATTCTTGACGTCCATCCTATGCCTTAAATAAAAAAATAAAATGCTACAATAGCAGCAGTGAGAGCTGCGGGACATAAATCAGTCTCAGTCACTGTTTATCATGGGGGAACTGGGGTTTAAAGAACCTATTATTTTGAAAGGGGAGGCTGCTTCCTGTAACTAAAGATCCGTGAGCTGTACAGTCATAAATGTGAAAAGGTTTGTTGCTCCCTCCCCTCTTTCTTCAGTCTTTTTTTCTGGAATTCCGATATTCTGCAGTTGGGCAACTGCACCCTACCTCTTCACACACCGTGAATGAGGAGGACAAGGCTGAGGATCCCCTAAAACTGTAAAAGCTGAAAGACAAAAAAATTCAAAATTCTAGTTTTGAGTGATAAGATTTATGTATATATTTATACTATGAAAATAGTTCTTAAAGTAATAAACCTTTCCTCTTGCGTACCACCAAGGCAACCTTGGCAGCCAAGTATATTTACAGAATGGGTGAATGATTTAACACTTGTGTAGCGTATTGGCTGTAGGCAAGTCATGTCAGGTATTGACAATAAACTTCTCTCCGATCTGTGAAAATTACCCCTCACGATGTGCCCAGAAGGCAGGTATATTTATTGTATGGATGAAGTCAATACTGAATTATAAAATCCATACAGAGGGTGGCAGGATCAGGATTTGAGTTAGGGTATGGTGAGTGCTCTGCTTAAACAGTAGTGCCATGGCCTCAAAGGACTGAATCTAAGGTGGGTTTCCAAAAGCGCAGGCTTTTGACTGAGGCTTGCTCTGTTTCAAGATAGGCACGTGTATGTGGTTTCATACAAAGGAGTGTAACTGCTGTAATCTTTTCATTTAATGCATGCTACTGACACGTCATTTACAAAAGGCTTTTTCAGTAGTACGTGTGTCGTATTCCCCAGGACTTGCCAAAAAAGAAGCATGTTAAAAATAAGACTTATGGAAAACTCCTTGGTTTATTTTTTCCCATGCTTGCTTTTCTTTGGTCATCCTCAGCAAGAAAAGAGGAGTTGGCTTCCTCGATTTTTTTCTGAATTCCCCTACAAGTAAGGATCAGATGAGCATGGTGACGTTTCAGTGTTTCCAGTTGCTGACTTAGCAGCTCTACGGTGTCTACCTTTTCCTCAAAGTCCCGAAGCAGTATCTCATTTCCAAGCAACCCACGCTTCTGCTGCAATTTCAAATTGTTTCTCCAGAGTCTGTCTCGGGCCTGTTTGGTTTTGGTCAGAATGTCTCTCTTCTGTGACAGGACGGTCTCAATGTGCATCAGTTCAGCCTTTCTGCCTTGATTTTCAGCTTCCACAAACTGTAGTTTTTCCCTGAACTGGCTGAGGATATGTACAGCATTGGATATCTTCTTTTTGAGCTTCAGGATTTCATCACTGAGGTCATCAATCTTTTCTCTGTGTTGCTGATTCTCTTTCTTCATCTGCTCAAAGTCCATAAAATGTTGACCCTCTACCTGTTCTCCCTGAACTTTCAAGATGGTTTCAAGGTTTTGGATTTCATGCTTCAGTTTGATGTTTTCCACACGGACCTAGAGGAGGAGAAATAAAAGAAGAATTACTTTTTTTTTTTTTTTCTTCAATCCCTGCCTTCCCAGGGAAGAAGTGCTTCTATTTAAAACAAGTCATGACACTAATAAAGCTTCAGGGGGAGAAAAGCATCCTATGTCTTGTGTTGTTTAACAGGGAGCGGTAGATGTTAGTGGAAGGAAGTGCCCTATCTGTAGAAGAGGAAAACGCTGCCCTTTTCAGGAACCTTTTTGACAAGAGCAGACGGAGATGAGAGAGCTGAGACCGCAGCCACAGTCCGACCAGGGCTCTGAGCCTCACCTCCCGTACTTGCTGCTCCTTATCCTCTTCCCGGGCCTGGATGTGCTCCACCGCCCTCGCTGCCGCCTCCCTGCCGCCCAGTCGCCTGCCGAGGCTG